TAAGAATTCTTAGCCTAACCCAAGGTCATAAAGACCTTCTTCTATGTTTTCTTCTAAAATTTGTACAGTTTTGCATTTTACATTTGGGTCTACTATCCATTTTTAGGTGATTTTTATGTAAGTATGAGGTTTAGTTTGTTTTGCAGCTATTGAAAAGACTATCCATTTTTCATCAAGTCACTGTTGCAGTTTTGTAAAAAGTCTATGGACCATATTTGTGTGGGTCTATTTCTTTTTTTTTTTTTTTTTTTTTAAAGATGACCGGTAAGGGGATCTCAACCCTTGGCCTGGTGTTGTCAGCACCACGCTCAGCCAGTGAGCAAACCGGCCATCCCTATATAGGATCCGAACCCGCGGCCTTGGTGTTATCAGCACCGCACTCTACCGAGTGAGCCAGGGGCCGGCCCGAGTGTGGGTCTATTTCTGAACTCTACTCTGTTGCCTTGATCCATGTGTTTATCCCATTACCAATATTAAACTGTCTTTATTGCTTTAGGTTTATGGTATATTGTAAGTTCTCTTTCTTTTTAAAAATTATTTTGGCTATTCTAGTTCCTTTGCCTTTCTATATAAATTTTAGAATGACCTTGTTTATATCTACAAAAAATTGTTAGGATTTTTATTGGAATTATATTAAATCCATTGACATCTTGAGCATGGCAAGTCTTCCAATCCATGAACACATTATGTCTGTCTATGCATTTAGATCTTTTTGTTTTTCTTCCATCAGTATTTGTAGTTTTCAGCGTACAGATTTACACATGTTTTTGCACAGGTTTGTTTCTAGGTATTTCATTTGGGAGGAGCTATTTTAAATAGTATCACTTTGTAATTTTGTTTTCCAAATTGTTTTTGTTAGTATATAGAAATACAATTGATTTTGTAAACTGATCTAATATCCTATGTCCACACTAAAGTCACTTAAAAGTTCTAAGTGGTTTTCATTTGTTTGTTTTTGCAGATTACTTGGGATTCTATGTAGACAATCATGTCATCTGAGAGTAGGAACAGATTTAATTCTATCTATATTTCCAATTTGCACGAGGTTTACTATTTCTTGCTTTATGCTCTGGCTAGGACCTCCAGTGTGATGTTGAATAGGAGTGATGAAAGTGCCTTCCTCCCAATCTTAGGGGAAAAGCATTCAGTTTTTTACCACTGAGTGTGATAAAAGCAGAGGATTGTACATGCTCTTTACAAGATTAAGGAAGTCCCCATCTAGTTCTAGTTTGCTAGGAGTTTTTATCATGAACCGACATTGAATTGTCAAATGTTTTTTCTGCATTAACTAATATGAACCTGATTTTTCTTCTTTAGAGCATTAATATGGTGGACTACGTTGTCTGATTTTTGAATACTGAACCAGCTTTACAGTCCTGGAATAGACGCCACTTCGTTGTGATGTATTATCTTTTTTATGTGTTGCTGCATTTGATTTGCTAATATTTTATAGAGGATTCTATGTGAATGTTCATGAGGTATATTGTTTGTAGTTTTCTTTTCTTGTACTGTCTTTGTGTAGTCTTAGTATCAGGGTAATGGTAGACTTAACTTATAAAATGAGTTGGGAAGTGTTCCCTCTTCTTCTGTTTTATGGAAAAGATTGTGTATGATTGATGTTATTTCTTTTTTTTGTTGTTGTTGTCTTTTTTTGTCTTTTTCCGTGTCTGGCAACGGATCGCAACCCTCAGTGTTGCCCCCGTACCGGACCGGGGACCGGCAACGGGATTGCAACCCTCGGTGTTGCTCCCGCGCCTCGCTCAGCCAGTGAGCGGGAACCGGTCTGTATGTGGGATCCAAACCCCTGGGCGGGAGCACCGCCGCGCTTCCCAAGCGGCGCACTTATCCAGTGCGCCACCGGGCCGGCCCAATGTTATTTCTTCTTTAAGTCTGGTAGAACTCACCAGTGAAACAACCTGGGCCTATGGCTTTGTTTTTCAGTCTTTGCATAATCAATTCACTTGATCTTAGACAAAAGGCCAAGAAGCGATGCATGATAAATTCAATTTATTTTTTAACAGATATAGGCCTTTTCAGGTTATCTATTTTTTCTTTGGTTAATTTTAGTAGTTTTTGGCTTTCAAGGAAACAGTCCATTTCATCTAAGTTAATCAATTGAAGTATATAAAGGTATTAAAATTATTCTTTTATTATCCTTCTATTATCTGTGGGATCTGTAGCAATGTGCCCTTTTTTATTCCTGATATCAGAAATTTGTTCCTTCTCATTTTTTTTTTTTTTTTGTCTTTTTCGTGACCGGTAAGGGGATCGCAACCCTTGGTGTGGTGTCGCCCGCAC